TCTTCCTCTTTTATTAGATGGAATTATGTTATAAAGAAGAACTTTCCCTCATCAGCCTGGGCTATTTGGTTACCACATTAGAAGTGGCTTGTTCCTTATTTCGTATCCTCTCAGCCTGCCTCTTACTACAGCCATTGCTGATGCTCCCTGCTTCCTGCAGGTGTAACCTGACAGCACCTCTCCTCATACGCACTGCATACATCTCACATTCTGCCCTGAGTTCCCCTGACTCCATGAGCCTAGCACTCACATCATGGCTTAGAAGTGTGAGGAGGCTAAGGCCCCAATGGGGAAATTAGGATCCATGGGAGATGGGAGCTGGTAAATAACTGACCCTCTCTTGCATCAACCTGACAATTATATTCTGAAGTATATTCTACATGGCAACTCAGAGTCCCAGCAGGCTCAAGGCCTCATTGCCCACAGTGATGACTAACTCGACAACACCCTTGTATTGACTTCCCCTGTTTCTCTCTCCCTAGTCATCCACTGCTGTTTCCTGAGATCCCTATCCAAAATAAACTACCTAAAAGGAAGCCCTTGTCTCAGGTTCAGCTTTCAAGGGGGTAAGTCAGGCTAAGACACCACTAAATGTAATTCATACAGGAAAGGCAGGATAAATGTTCATTTTTTTCATTTTATTAAAAATATTCAGAGTATTGCCCTGGTTATGTCTAATAACGAACTCAAGGATTTATATGTCATCAATGAATTTCAATCAGTTGTAGTTCTTACTCTATTCTGATGCTCAGGTTGTCCCCTTTTCAGCCAGTGGAAGCTCCTCTACGCTGACCCCCTTGACCTGTCCCATTAGACTTTAGACTTTAATAGCTTCCTTGATTTCCGGCACAACAGGGTGTCCCAGGCTCATCATGGACATTTCTTGCCCCACGACCTGAAATCTGGCATTTTGAAAAGAATTTGTTCCTTTTAATAGGGAATGATGTATTGAAAGTACAATATAAATCTTAAAGGTGCTCATTGCTACAAGATTATTATTACTTCTAGGCCTTTTCAAGGGACAAAGCAAGTAAATACTTCTTTTATTTTCCCAATAAATGTAAAACTTTTCTTACTGGGACGTAAGAAACATTTTTGAAAAGAAAAAATCATAGTTCATACTATTTCCAATTCAACTTTAGTATTATATGAATTCTACTTACTCTGAAAATCATCATTCCTAACTCTAATATTTGTTTTTACCTATAATATACAAGCATAACATAATTTGAAAGTAATAATATCTATATTTCTGCTAGCGATAAGACTGCTGAATGAAGTTTAAGATTTCTTTGTAGGTCTATTTATCCTGAGAGCATATTCCACTATGGATGTACAGTGAAAACACTATTTTCTAAAGTCATCTAATTGCTTACTTGGTGTAGTTATGCCACCAACTTAATATACAGTTAGATCATTTGCTTCGGTTTGTTTTCAAATTTTAGGAATTGCATTTTTCTTTTGAATTTAAAATTATTTTGAATATGTAAAATATATACATGATTCTAAAGTCTCAGCTATATAGTCAAGGTATATTCAGAGTAGTCTGCTTCCATGCCTGTCCCCTCTACCTGTTTCCTCCCATCCCAAATATATGTAAGTGTATGCTCGTAGTTCACCTATCTTACCAAAAAAGCATACTATACTGTTCTGCACCTTGGTTTTTTGTTGTTGTTGTTGTTTTAAAGCTAACATATTGTGAAGATCACTCCACATCAGTGTAAAGAGATGGCCCTCATTCTTTTTCAGAGTTGCACAGTGTGTTTCGTTGTATGGTTCTACCCAAGTTTATTCAACCAGTCCCCTACTGTGGTTATTTGGTTTCTTTCCAATAGCAAAAGTGCTATTACACACAATATTGCAATGAATAACCTTGTGCATAAGTCATTTTGTATTTGGGAAGGATTCCTAGAAGTGGGATTTCTGGGTTAAAGGGTAAACATACATGCAGTTTTTCTAGGGATTAGCAAATTCCCTTCCATGGGTGCCGTGGACCATTTTACACTCTCACTAGCAATATGTGTTGTCCCTGTTCTCCAAAGTCTGCCAACCCAGTAGGCGGTCAAAGTTTTGGATTTTTGCTAATCTGATTACTTGCCTCCTTTTATCATTCTGCCCCAAGATATACCACAAAGCTTTCATCTGCTTTTGGAAGAACTCTTTTAGCACAGAGAATAGGTGATTGTGTTGAGGGTGATAGAAAGAGGGTGGTTGCAATGTCCCTATCTATTTCCACTCACTTAATCATAGAAATGCCAAAGCCCAAAGCATACACCATTCTCGCTAAGACCTTGTGCTTCCAAAGACTGGTTCGGGTTTCTAGCCAAAGAAAAGGACATCAAATATGACCTTTCTAAGGTCAGCAGAATGTAGAAAGGACAGTAAGTGAAGTTCATTGGTACTTTACCAGCTTTAGGATCCTGAGAAAGGTGGAGGAGGAACCATGACCATCTTTTGTCAGCTTGCTGTCTCCAGAACAACCCCAATGCCAAGGAGAAGGAGAAGTCTCTGTGCATGGCTGGAGGTTTCCACAGATTGTGGTGTGTCCACCTTCTAACCTGCAGGGCTGCTCACACCCAGGACCTCTTCTATTGCTGTTTTGTGGGAGTAAATGTCATGGATGGACAGTTTTTTTCTTTCAGCATCTCCCATTTCTCTGTATTCTCATGGGTGATTTTGGCCCCCAGGGGACATTTGGCAATGTCCTGAGACATATCTGGATGTCACAACTTGGAGAGGGGTACTGCTAGCATCTAGTGATTAGAGGCCAGGGATGCTGCCCAATATACTATCATGCACAGTACAGCCCTCCTTGCATAACAAAGAATTATGTGCCCCGCCTCAAATGTCAGTAGTACCAAAGTTGAGAAACCCTGCTGTATTCTTTCTTTATGTACCCGTTAACAGACATCCTCAAAATGACTATTATCAGCGGCAGTTTCACAGATACTCCCCCTCCCTATTCCTCAAAAAGTCACTAGCAATTCAGAAATCTCTTCAGTCAGAAAGACTCTAAGGAGTTATATATTAATCTGGAAGATTAAAGAACAAATACCATTTTAACCTTCTAAAAACTGATTATTATTAGGTGTAATGCAATCTTTTAACTGTAAGTATAAAGAAAAGTGCTGATTATTTAAAATAAATGGGACCAAAAGTCCCATGAATAATCAAAACCTTGGTTAATAGAGCATGACCAGAGAATAAGGCACTTGGCTTCTGTGGAGAAATTAAAGTACATGCTGTGAATTGGTATTAAGGAAACTGCATGAAAAGTTAGTCTTAAGGTACCATGATTCTGGAGAAACAGCCTCAGGTGCACAATATATCACATTCAGTCTTTATCTCTCTTCATTTTTTCATGATTTCTTTCACCTTGGATGACCCAGAAGCTCAGGCCTTGGAACATTTTGGAATGGTAAGGTATCTCACTCCTCACATTTATTTTCATCTAGAAAGACCTGAATTTTACTGCCAAGAGTTTATCTCTTTCACAGGAATTATTTTTGAACTTCAGCTTGCCTTACTTATTTTGAAATACTAGATCGTATTTAATACTTACAAGCATAAGTGGGGTTCATCTAAAATGTACCCCTGAAAAGTTATACCTAAATTGAATTTTTTGAAATAAAATCGGATTTTTAAATCACAAGGGAAATTTGCTATTCAAAGGGAGTCTACAGCTAAACCTTTTGTAGAGAAAAGCATGTTTTTTGCAAAGTCAATAATTACTCCTGAATTTGCCCTTTAAGTCCGAATTTTTATATGTAGCTTTAGTCTAGACCAATATTATGCATGATGTTAACTTAAAAAATATCAATCATGGATTTGAAAGAATTTTGGAAAGTTGAAAAGTGTTTTACAAGCTATTTTTAAGAGTGTAAAATTGGGTAATATATTTTTTATTATTAACAGGGTTTGTTAACACTTGTTTTGGGTGATGAAAATAGGGTAAGGATGTTGACATATCTGAAAAAAGAAAAGGTGGCATTACAGAAACGATAACCACTGCTTTCCCTCAGCAACGAGGAGAAAGAGAGGTTGGTAGCTTGTCCCTTAGACAATGTAATGTTGTGGCTAAGAGCATGGATTCAGAACCAGATTGCCTGGGTTCACATCCCTGCCTAGTGTTGCCTTGGGCAATTTACACGACTTGGCTGTGCCTCAGTTTCCTCATATGAAACATGGAGAATACTAACACTATCTACTTAATGGAGTTGTTTTGGGCATTTAAATGAATTAATACATGAGCTATAAGTAGAAAGCACTAGGGTCAGTGATAGTTTTGAATCCCGGATGGCGAGCAGAGCTTCCCTCTAAAGACGAGAGAGAGGCTGGGCGCGGGCCTCTCCGCACCCTGTGGAGGCACCGCTGGTTCTGCCTGGGCTGTACACGGGGGAAACCGAGGGTCAGCGAGGAGGCAGTGACTCGGACAAGGATGGAGGACATTCCTTGGGAAAAAGAACTCTTTCCGCCGGGCCACGCCGCCTTCCGTCTGGTTGGAAGCTGAGGGCACGAGGGCTGAGCCCGACGCCTGGACTTTGCTCCCACCAGAGCCGTGGGCCACAGCTCTCGAAGCCCCGGGGCCGCGCTCACGCCGGTCCACTATCATTGCCAGGGGCTGGCGGCCGACAGCTACGGGAGGCTTCCCAGAGGAGCGGGCGCCTCTGCCCGCCGCCCTTCCTTCCGGGCGGGGGGCCGCGAAAAGAGAGTGGTAGACACCGACCCTAGTTCACCACTCAGATATTTATGTGTGCCCACTCTGCTGGACGCTGGGAATGCTCCGATGAATCAGACTCCGCCTAGACTCCAGGCGCTGGAGGAGCACTCTGCGCCACCCACCCCAATCCCTGGCAACCGCGATCCTCTCAGGCCTCAATCCGGGAAGGGGGTAGGTGGGAGGAGCTGAGGCTTTCACCCTATCCCTCACCTTCCGGGGTTCACTGCCAAAGCCCCGCCCCTTCGAGGCGTTCACGGCTGCGCCGTAAAGTAGGGAACAGTCTCTGCTCCTGTACAGCCCGCCCCCATCTTTACGGCAGGCCGCATTCCACGCCTCCAATATGGTGTCCCCCATTTAGGCAGGGGCAGTAGTTTCTACCCGGATGGCCGGGGGCAGTGCTGAGCCGGTGCTATTGTATATCTAGCCCAGGCTGCAGAGAGCTGCAGTTTAAGTTCCTTCTGGTCACGGCTCCAGGAACCCACCCTCCTCTGAGGGTCAACAGTCGCCGCTTCCAAGTAGTCCCTGCAAGTTCTTCCTCTGCCCCTGGTTTGTTCCCCGCGCCACCTCCGGACACCCCCAGGTCCCTGACACTCCCAGACCCAAACTATGAGCCTTCGGCAGCGGCTTTTGCGCTTGTCCCGTTATCTCGGGGCCTCGGGTCCCCCGCGTCGCCTGTGGTGGCCCCCGTCTCTCGACACAGTCTCTTCGGTGGGCTCCTGGCGTGGTCAGTTCTCCAGGTCCCCAGCCCACTGGAACCAAGTGGTGTCAGAAGCAGAGAAGATCGTGGGCTATCCCACGTCCTTCATGAGCCTCCGCTGCCTGCTGAGCGACGAGCTCAGCAACATCGCTATGGAGGTGCGGAAGCTGGTGGGGACTCAGCACCCTCTGCTTACCACAGCCAGGTGAGCTGCTACCTCTCCCCCTGACACTCTGGCACCCACTCGAGCCCTTTTTCCTGGCCGACACACCTTTCTTGCCTTGCTCATACTGGCACCCAGCTTATCTCTTTTTACCCCTTCCTTTCCTCAGCCCTTCTAGACATTCACTGTTGTCTCTTCTTTAGTCCACTCACTTTAACATTCATCCTCTATTTGGTCAGCTGAGCGGATAAGTGGTTTTATTTTGAGAAACACTTGTACCCTTTTCGCGTTTTTGCTTCTTAACTATTGAGGACGAAAATGTCTCAGTGATTTGTGAAGAAATCGAGTAGGGATGTGGGTTTGAGTCACTTTCTAGCAGTGGTCTTTTGACAGGGGGATAGATTCTTTTTCGGTTCCGCCTTATTTAAGAGGTCATCTCGAGAAAGAATGTGAAGGGTGAGATAGGCTGAAGGTAAACAGCTCTTTCCACCGAATGTCCCAGGATTGAAGTAGGAATTTATCCAGTCAGTAGTCATTATCCTCTTGGGATTTTTATCACTTATGTTGGACTACTACAATGTGAAACGTGCCGTTAGGATTTTAAGGACCACAACTTTTGCTTCTACTTAAAGAAACCCACCTTTTTATTTGCAGATAGTTTTAAACGTACTGAAAAGTTGCAAGAATAAAAATAATACGAAGAACACACTTGTATACCCTTTAATCAGATTCACTTATTATGTACATACATATACATATTATTCACATGTGTAAAGTGTGTGTGTATATACACACACACACACACACACACTCACGTACATATATATATTTTTCCTGAATCATTTGAGGGTAGATTGCATACATCATGATCCTTTTACCCTTAAATACTTCATTGTGCATTTCCTAAGCATAGAGATATTCTTTACATAACTAAATTGCAGTAATCAATTTAGGCACATTTAATATTGATACAATACTTTTATTTAATCTACCATTGATATTCCAATTTTGTTAATTGACCCTATAATGTCCTTGATAGTATTCTTTCCTCTCATACAGGACCCGGCCTAGGATCAGATATTACATTTAGTTGTCATATGTCTTTAGTCTTCTATTGGGAACATTTCCACAGCTCTTCTTCTCTTTTGTGACTAGAGCAGTGGTTCTCAAATGGAGCAACATATGGCAATGTATGGAGATGTAGTCACAACTGGGACATGCTACTGGCATTTAGTGGGTAGAGGCCAGGGATGCTGTTAAACCCTACAATGTGCAAGACAGTGCCAAAATGAAGAATTATGTGCCTCAAAATGTCAGTAGTAGCAAGACGGAGAAATCCTGGACAAAAATTATCTTTTTCTCTGTTTCTTTTTTTTAAATAAACTTTTATTTTGAGATAATTATAGATTCACATGCAGTTGGAAGAAATAATACAGGGAGATCCAGTGTACCCATTATCCAGTTTCTCCTAATGGTAACATCTTGCACAACTATAGTACAATATCACAAGCAGAATATTGACATTGATATAGTCATGATACAGAACATTTCCATCACTACAAGGATCCCTCACTTGCCCATTTATAGCCACCCCCACTTCCTTGCTTATCCCCCTGCTATGATTTTTTGAGACACCTGTCATTTGTTACTACAAAAGTTACCAAATAGCAATAGTAAAGTGCTTTTATTTCTTGGCATTGTTCCCAGTTTTCAGGAGTGTCATCATATGAGTGGGCTAAACTTGTCCTGTAGCTGAAATGTTAGTTCTCCAGAGATTCTAGATGATACACACTCAAAACACAAACACATATATGTTTTAAAGCTTAATAATGAAACTGATGAGTTTACCACCCAATTTAAGAACTATAACTTTACCAATCCTGTTGAAGCTATCTGTGTATTCCCCAGTCCATCTCCCTGACCCCCACTTTACTGGATTTTGTGTTTATTTTTCCTTTTTAAAATTACATGAGTGTTTCCCTGAATAATAACATGTTTAATTTTGCTCATTTTTGAAATTTATAAATATGGTAGTTTATTGCATATAATCTCCTGTGACTTGCTTTTTTTATGCATCGTTTTTCTAAGATTTATCCATGTTGTGTTTAACTGTACTTCATTAGTTTTTCACCGGTGTATGAAATCCTATCGTGTGAATATGCCACAGTCTTCTTTCAATCAGAATTTGGGTTGTTTGCATTTTTTGGTGTTATGAAAAATGCTACTGTGAATATGCTTGCACATGTCTCCTGGTGTACTTGTCTTGAGAGAGTGTATGCACATATTCAGCTTTAGTAGATAATACCGATTGTTTTCCAAAGTGGTTGTACCAGTTTATACTCTCAGGAGCAAATGATTACTCCACATTCTCACAGCGCTGGAACCATGAAGTTTCTTAATTTTTGCTAATCAAATAGTAGGTTTCTCTGTATGTGGTGGGAATGTTAGTGTTGGTAGTGGGGGTTGTAGTAATATATGCATTGTGTGTATTATAGTCTCTGTAATAAAGCGTTGAAGTTAAAAGTGCAAGAGCTAGAAAGAGCATTATTAATGTGTATATTCTGAGAATTACAATTCATCTACTTAGTTGCCAGGGTATCAGATGGGGTCTTGGAGAAGATCTCTTCTGAAGCCTCCAGAGACACACTAGGTGAAAGCTTGTAAGACTAATAGCTCTGAAACTTGCCTGATTGGAGCCTTCCCTGCCTACCTAGTCCCATACTACAGTGAAAGAATTGGAGAGGAACAAAATAAGTTTCAGCAAAGCTGTTGTGGTAACATGTATGAATTGCTTTATTTTGTAAGAAAAGAAAGAACTAATCTGCATATAGTTTCATTACATTTACTCTGATACTGTGTTGCAAATTATTTAAACAATCTAAACTCACAGGCAGGGCCGGCCCTGTGGCTTGGTGGTTAAGTGCGCGCGCTGCAATGCTGGTGGCCCGGGTTCGGATCCCGGGTGCGCATTGAGGCACCACTTCTCCGTCCATCCTGAGGCCGAGTCCCACATACAGCAACTAGAAGGATGTGCAGCTGTGACATACAACTATCTACTGGGGCTTTGGGGGGAAAAAATAAAATAAATAAAATCTTTAAACTCACAGGCAGCCAATGAACAAAAAACTGTGGAGGAGAGTCGTGTATATATCTGTTTTAGCAAAGGAGTAGGCATTTGATCCATAATGTAGGCAGACTGTGGTTATTGTAAATTATAGCTAAAAACATGGATTAAGCAGCTATATTTTTCCAAATGTTGTACACTTTACTTTGTTGAAATCTTGTCAGCAAAGCATTGATAGTTAAGAGGAAGATGCTCTCACTCAGCATGTTAGCCAGAGGATACAAAGACCTGTTGTAGTTGATTTAGTTAGGAACATAGAAAACTGGACTTGGTAAATTCTTTTATAGTTTCATTTTACATTCTGAGTTTCTATTATTTACTTAAATCAATACTCTAACCCTTTGGGTTATTTTACTTTTTGGGTAAATCTGTACAGTATGTTAGGGATGAATCATGTTTACTAGCCCTAAAATTTAGATGAATGGTGACATTTTGGGCAAACAGCAAGAGAAAAACAGGAAATCATCATAGTTTATTATTCACTACCTTCTCTTTTTTACCTAAGCCATCCCATCAAGAAAAGGAAAAGAGCCTAGAATTACACTCTTTAACAGTTTAACTCAGAAGTGAGATTAAATTTAAAATCTTGAGATTTGGGGAAATAAGGATCGTATTACTAGGAACAATGTAGCAATTAGCTAATTTTTTACCTTTGTTCTTCTAGATATTCTAGGATCTTTCTGTTTTATATTTCAATTAGATAAATAATCCTCAATTAATTAATTCAATGTTTATTGAATTTTTATGGAGGAATATGAAGAAGTCTAAAACATGGACCATGTCCCTTGATGAACAGACATTTTGTTGACACAAATAAGTATATAAATATATAACAGAGGGAAGTAAATGACTTGTGGCTAATGAATAGTAGAAGTATATTAGCTATTATATTTAGAGATACTGAAGTGGCCTGGAATAATAGAGAACTTTCATGAAGAAATTGAGGTGTCATTAGGATGGATGGATAGAAATTACATGGGTAATATTTTAGGGTGGTGGTAGTATATTACATATTGTTTCCTTCATGATTCTTTTTTCTCCTTTCTTTCTCAGTCTGTCATCCCTCTGCTAGGTGGAGGACCTTAAAACCAAGGATAAGCAGTGCAGTAAAGTAAAATGAGCAGCATGAAATGGAGCTAGAATAGCTAAAACAATTTTGGGGAAAAAAAAAGTGGGAGAAACATTCTACCTAATGTTAAGTCTTATATATAACTTCATTGATCAAGACGGTGTGGTATTGGCAGAGGAATAGACAGAGCGATAGAACAGAATAGAGACACCTAGAAATAGATCAACACAAATATAGCCAATTGATTCTTGACAGAGGTGCAAAAGCAATTCAGTGGAGGGAGGATAGTCTTTTCAACAAATGGTGCTGGAGCGATTGGATATCATAGCCAAAAAAATGAACCTTGACCTAAATTTCACATAATATTAAAAAAAAATCAGTGTAAAATGGATCATTGTGAAATCAATGTGAAAGGATTTAAATGTGAAATGCAAACCTATAAAACTTTTAGAAGAAAACATAAGAGAAGATCTTTGGGACCTAGGGCTAGGTAAACAGTTCTTGGACCTGACACCAAAAACCCATTCCATAAGAGAAAAAAAATCAATGATTGGATTTCATCAAAATTAAAAACTTTGCTCTGCAAAAGACCTTGTTAATAGGATGAAAAGATGAGCCACAGACAGGGAGAAAATATTTGCAAATCACATAGCTGAAGAAGGACTTGTATCTAGAATATATAAAGAAGTTTCTAAACTCAGTGGTAAGAAAACAAACAATACAATTAGAAAATGGGCAAAAAGAGCATATAAAGATGGCGAGTAAGCATATGAAAAGATGGCGAGTAAGCGTATGATATGTTATTAGCCATTAGAAAAATGTAAATTAAAACCAAGGTGAAATTCTGCT